GAAAGAGTGAGTTGGTTTTCCATGCATTCTTGGTGGGATGGCTGCTCTGCAGAGCGAAGCCTTTCCCGGGGAAAAACATCCTGGAGTGCAGTTTGCTGAGGGCAGCACAGTTAGCATTTCATCAGTTCAGAATCGTAGAGTCTTTTCCAAAACCTATTCTTTGTGTTGCAGAGATCCACTGTTTCCTACTATCGATTTTGCCTCAAAGATTGATTCTAGAAGAAGAAAAGCCAAGGAAAAGTCTTATAAAGAAAGAAAACTCGCTGAAATTGCCAGAGAAATAGAAGAACTTGTCCAGCAGCGGAAGTTAGCAAAACAGGTGCAGAGGGATGAAATGCAATGCACTCGACCTATGTTGTGGAGCTTTGTGCAAAGTGCATCATCAGTGCAAGCCCACACATTGTCAAGACTGGTCTCGGTAGCAGATAGCGGGCCACTAACTGTGAAAGATGTGACTAACCAAATACGACACTATGGAGACAGTGTTTCTAATCCCTTTCAGGCCTGCATCTCAGCCAGCGGCAGCGGTCCAGGTGGCAGAGTCCTTCCAGCGCCGATAGCAGCTTCCCCCGCACAGAGCCTCCGCCATGGAAGAGGAAATCGCCGCCCTCATCATCGACAACGGCTCCGGGATGTGCAAGGCCGGGTTCACTGGAGACGACGCCCCCTGTGCCATCTTCTCCTCTATCGTCGGCCATCCCCAGCACCAGGGCTTGATGGTGGGCATTGGGCAGAAGGACAGCTACGTTGGGTGACGAGGTGCAGAGCAAGAGGGGCATCCTCACCCTGAAGTACCCCATCGAGCATGGCATCGTCGCCAACTGGGACGACATGGAGAAGATCTGGCCACACCTTCTACAACAAGTTGTGGGTGGCCCCCGAGGAGCACCCGATGCTGTTGACCGAGGCCCCCCTCAACCCCAAAGCCAACCGGCTTAGATCTGTTAGTTTATTTTCCGACCCATAAAGTCTCTCTCCCTTATTCTCTTTTCTCTTCCCTTCTGGGGAGGGGAAAGGGGTTAATAGAGAGCGTCTGTCCAGGATTTAGTGGCCGGCCCAGCCCTAAACCACGACATTGCCCAGCAGCGGAACTCAGTAAAATAGCTGCAGAGGGATATACAGAAGATGGGCGAGGAGGATTGTAAAATTGCTAAGGGGACTTGCAGCTAGAGTGTCAAAAGACACATTTTGTGCTGATAGCTGAACTCTGAACTTTTATACGTGACACATGTCCTTGCTGGGGATACCCTTCAAAGGGTTTTT